AACATCCCCCTTGAACCTATATCTCAGGGTTTTCTACCCCTGGACAGTGCCCCCAATCCTCTTTGTTTGTGAGTTTCAAAATTTCATTAACTCGATGATGGACAAATTGCTTCCATTCCCCTCTATTCCTTATCCAGTAAAGGGCAGTAATGCTATCAAGCCAGAAACAGGTAAAATCTATCTTAACTTGGGTTCCAAGTGCCCCTTTAACTGAGTTCATGAGCTGGGCAAGGAGTCTGGCTGACATCAATTCTAATCTGGGTATGCTTGTCGGTTTTAAAGGCGCTACTCTTGCTTTAGAGGTTAGTAGACGCACATACACTCCTACACTTGTTTGGTAAACAAAATAGATCACGGCACAATATGACTTGCATCACCAAATCCATGCAAGGTACACTCTAAGACCTCCTCCTCTGGGTTATCATATATGCAACGAGGAGTAATTATTTCATTTACTTCTATTAAATCCTTATACCAGACTTCCCATTTCCTAAGTATTTCTCCAGTGAACACCTCATCCCAATCAATTTTTGCCTTGCATACTTCTTGAAACAAGATCTTGGCATAAACAATTATAGGGCTCACTATTCCGATAGGATCAAAAAGACTAGCTAAAACACTTAACAGATTTCTTTTCGTAGGTGATAGAGTTCTTGCTTTTTCACCTGTCTTTGCAACCTCAAACTTTAACTCATCCTTATTGTTATCCCATACTTGACCTAAACCCTTATGGCATTTTGATTCAGTTCCCTTCATTCCTAGAGATAATTTTGCATATGATTCATTCTCATCTATTCTATCGCTCTTCCTGTCCATGGTCTTCTCTTCTAAATCAATCTTATCTTTCAACATTCTACTATTTGTTAACCACTTTCGCATGTTGAAACCTCCCTGTGCCATCCTACGCTTTGTCTTACTATACAACTCTAATGCCTTTCCTGTACTACCCTCACCACTGACTAGATCATCCACATAAAACCCATCAAGCATTTTTTGTACAAACTCTGGATCTTCTTCAACATATGTAGAGACATGGTGTCTCAATGTAGCATTGAGCAGGAATGGTGATGAATTTAACCCAAAAACTACTCGGCAAAAACGATAAACTACATGTAGTGTCTCCTGGTCTTCATTCTCAACATTCTTCACCCAGAGGAACCTTAAGCTATCTCTATCTGCTCTATCTACTTCCACATTCAGGAATGCTTTCTCAATATCGCCTACTAACGCTACTCTTTTTTCTCTAAACCTTATTAATATACTATACAGCAATGGATTGAGAGATGGTCCAACATGTAAACAGTCATTAAGCGATGTTCCTGATTTTGACTCCTTTGAGGATGCATCATATACAATACGTAGTTTTGTGGTCACAGCATCCTTGCGAATGACCGCTTGGTGTGGTAAGTAATGCACCTTGTCTGCCTTCTCTAGACTCGATACCTGCTCTATGATTCCCTTTTCTACTTGCTCTCTAATTATTGAATCATATTCTTTCAACAATTCAGGTTCCTTCTTCAATCGCCTTAACTGGCTCTTCATTCTCGCTAGACTATTCCCGTAATTGTCTGAAAGCTTGTCATGGCCTTCCTTCCAGGGCAGTTTCACGGAGTATCTACTGCCTGTGAAGGTCACGCCATCTAAAAATTCCTCATGAACACTATCCTCGTCAATTATGCCTAACCCTTCCAAACTCCAAAGCCTTTGCACATTACTCTCTAAACTATCATTGTTCCACTCCTGATTACCTATCTGTGCTACAAAATTTACCTGAGCTACTCCAACCCTTTCTATGTCCCTTGCTCTAAGAGGACCTGACAAAACCCAACCTAACTCTGTTTCAACAGCTACTGGATCCTCCGGTCTACCTCGCCTGGTAACACCTGTTTGAAACTGCCAAAGATAATCTGCTCCTATGAGAACGTCTATTTCTAAAACTTCCTGGCTACAAACATCAGAAAACCATGTGCCCTTCAAGTGTTGGTAATCCTTTCGTGCTAATTCTATGTGTGCATTTTGTATACTGGAAATTTCTGGTACTACATAAGCTTCTACAGTTATGACCTTATCCCCATGCAGAGGTTTAAGCTTTAATTCGACCACATCCCTTTGTTCGGACCTGGTACATTTCTGACCGAACGTATTAATGCCTAACAATTCCCGTCTTAAACCCTTGGGATCAACGAGACTAGCTGCTTTCGAAGTCACAAAGGAGCGATGACTTCCCGCGTCAAACAGTACCCGGACCTTAGCCTCCCTTTCTCCCCTTAAAACCCCGCGCGCAGTTTGCAAGGCAACCAGGCCACCAATTCCTACATGCAAATTGGTAGGACTAGATACATTAATTTTAGGGTCTTGTTTAATTATATCTTTACTTATTTCCTCATGCATAGTTTCTTTGTTGTCATTATCACACAGGGCAACATGATGTGTGCCATTGCATTTCTTACACTTGGTTGATACACTACAATTATTAGCCCTATGGCCTTTATCTAAGCATTTAAAACATCTACCAAACTTACGTGCTAAAGTCTTACGAGTTTTTGGATCCCTTACTCCTGGACAGTCTTCGTGGGCATGTTGTTTCAGACAGAAGGCACAACAGTTTTTTCGTTTCTCATTCGCCAAGAGTGCAGCAGCAGTATAAGGGTTCTTTCGCTGACGCTGTTGCTCTCGTTCCATATTTACTATTGCAGTCGTTCCCACGCATTATGTGCTTCTCTCAGTTCCAATTCCTTTACAAATGCATCCAGCATTTCTTCCATCGACCATTGTAGAAAATCCGTTCCTCTGGTACACAGAGTAGATAAGACATACAGAGACGTAACTGACCGTTGTAAACACTGCGGAAGATTACGTTATCATGTACCCACTTTTTTTTCAGGCGACCGGGCGAAAAATGATCAACTGCGCGTGCTCAGCAAGTTTAAAGTGAGCCGTCATCAGGTCGTTATCCAATCAGATGCATGCATCTAGTAATTTGCCGAGCATGCGCACAAAAAAAGTGGGTACAGTAGTTACGTCTCTGTATGTCTCTACTCTGTGTCTGGTAATCGTCAACCGAAATGATTCCGTTAGTTTCTCGACGATGACTGGAACAACAATACTGGAGTAAGATTCCTCGCTCACCCCCAGTGCTTTCAACGCGCGGTTATGTGCTTCACAGCTATCATATAAATGGCGAAGTCCTCGCGTGTCTCTTTCCTTGAATACCGGCGACAATTGAATCAGTTCGTTCACGTGTGCTCGCTGAACTGCGCTCTTTTTATCAAATCGTTTCTTTAAGAGTTCTACTGCTGACTTATAATTTGCTTCTGTCAGAGAAAACCCAGCGATTGTTGACTTTGCTGGTTCTTCCAACAGACCGCGTAAATACGCAAATTTATCGACATCAGACAATTGCTCATTGTTATCGATTGAACTTGAAAAGCTGTCCCAAAACTCCTGCCATTCGCAAATCTTTCCGTTAAACTTTCTGAGTTCAAGTTTCGGGAGCTTAGCTCGAACGATTTTACCGACTGACATATCGCTGGAGGTTGACAAATGACTCTGATTAAGGCTTGCATCCGCGGCGTTCTGCGTTGTCGACACTGACAATGGCGTGCTTTGTCTCAATTTACATAATTCATCCTCGAGCTCGAGTAATATTCTTTCCAGTTCCGCTATCGCGTTGTCTGAGTCTTCAATTTCTTGCGTTACAAGTTCATCGACGTCTTCCTCTTTCGATGCGCTGATTATGTCGATTATTTGTTCGTCGAATTGTCTTATCGTCTTGATTTTTTCTTTCAAGTTCGTTTGGCTCTGTCGCAACCATAGTATGTCTTTGTCTGGGCTCTCACTTTGAAGCCTTTCAACTATCTTCGCCACAAGCTTTTTAGCTGACGATCTGTGGCCTCCTCTCACTCGTTTCTTCTTGACTAGATCTTCCATCTGACGATTCAAGTCTCGAAACCTCACGCAACTCTATTCTCGACCGCGACGCAAATGTTGACTATTTGCGCGTCCTTTCTTCACAATATTAACAATCCGGCTCGATCGGACCACTGTGTTGCGGAACTTGTGATTCCACCGTCTGGTTCATTCAGTAAACGCTCAAGGGACTGTATTTTATAATTGTATTGATTGTAATATGTGAAAGTATACTATTTACAACGTGAGTTTTAGACTGTTAAACATTCCGATTGTCTCGCTACGATCTGATGGCAACAATGACATTCAATCACTCCCTAGCTATTTGATTACCCTACCAAATTACAATGTGTCACTGTGACGTATCAATTTACACATACAAAGACTTATTTACGATTTAACATGAATTACGTCAAGCACAATACTGATATATTACATGAAGTATATTTAAAGTTGAATGAATTGGCGGCGCTGCGCTGGGAACCTACGACAAACATCAAGGCTGTAATTACGGGTATTACCGCACAGCAATATGGAAACGCTACATGGGTTGTAGCTCTAACACTCGACGAAGATCTCCCGGATATTGATAACGATTTTCTAACTAACGATGGGTGTAGATTGAGCATCGGTAATGATGTAATTCTCAAGGCACAAAAAGAAGATCTGTCGATCGGTAAGGTACGGTCATTCAAGCTCGAGGGGCGCCGCCGCAATTTTTTTTTCCGTAGACAGTCGGACTCCTCATTGATAGTCGGACGCGTCATTGACCTGCGCCCTTAAACAAAACAAAACATTCATATGACATCTGACATATTTTATTAAGTTATATTCGCCATTCCCACTTGCTTTTCTTTGCTTTTGTAAATGTTTTTTGCAACTCTTTTCTTTGCTTTTGTAACTCTTTGTGAGTTTCTTTGTTTTCTCGAATCCGGAGCGATTGCAGAATACCCGTCTACTCTTCCCGTCTACGCCTTTCAAACATCATGCATGGATGCGATGTATTAATACATCTATATTTATTCTCAATAGATTAATAATAAATAGATTGATAGATTAAAATCCCATGGTGGTAATTACAGGTAGCTACGTGGCATACAGTGACTTACAGTGCATTAATTAATAGATTAAATTGTCATAGTTTTAAAGGTAGCTCTATGTTCTAGTGGATACGCAGTCAAGTAGTTATTCTGAGAACGAGGCTGTCGATGCATACACTTAGATTGTCATTAGATCAAATTCTCATGCTATGGGTAGCTCTATATACGCGGATACGTGTATACGCAGTTAAGTAGTTATTTTGAGATTAAGGCGACAGTTAGTTAGCATAAATAGATTAAATTCTCATATATATATATATATATATATATATATATATATATATATATATATATATATATATATATATATATATATATATATATATATATATATATATATATATATATATACACTGCAAAAAATCAAATTCTAGTCTAGAATAATATTCTTATTTTTTAGATTATTTTTCTTATTTCAAGTAAATATTTCTTATCAAGAAATATTTCAAGAAAAAAATCTAGTTTTAAGAACAAAAATCTTAAAGTAAGAAAATATAACTAGGCAAGAATATTCGAGAGAATATTTTTCTTATTTTAAGAATAACATTCTTCCATCCTAGAATAATATCCTTATAATTAGAAAAACAATCTTGAAATGAAGTTAATTAATATTTATCGCAAATATCAAAACCTTTCTTTCGGACGGCAATTTTTGCATGGCCGAAACGAGATATGATATTGAATTGAATTAAACCTAGTTCTATTGTATATCTTTCACTTTTTTGTCAAATTTGAAGCTGAACGGCTCTGTCCTGAATTGTCGCAGTTTCAACATGGCAGATATCATAATGAATTTGCCGGTATATGGCCAATGAATTGTTATTGAAAAATAACAATTATACATGAATTCAAATCATTTGCAACAATCGTCTATCTACATTTTAATGAAGATGGTATGATCCACCGCACAAAATGATCTGTAAATTTACCCAAGATTTTGCGTATAAATATCACCACATGTTATGACATCACGATTAATGCTGTCACATGTTAAGACATGTGATACGTTAGTACTGTAATAAACCATAAAAATTTTATATTTAAATTGCAATTGGCATATAACTTTTTTAGAAAATCTATCTCATTATTCGCTCATAAGAATTTTCATCATTTTTATAATCATTTTTTGGCCAGAGACCGCCAAATTAATGCTTCCTACAATTTCAAGCTAGCGCTACAGCGCTACGATAGATTGGGAGCGCTTTTTGATGTATCTGTTTTAGAAGACAAGGGTCACGCGCGCAATGAGTTGTGGGATATCGTCACAGTTTAATGATATTAGTGAGCTTAAGCAAGTGACGTTTTTGACAACACGGACGTCGACCGGAAGTAAAATTGACGTTTTTCACCAATCACAACCCTTGACCCAGTCTTCTGACGTTACTCATGCCGTTCGTGTTGTCAAAAACGTCACTTGCTTAAGCTCACTATTCAGTTGTGTAACTCGCGGCCGTCAGTATTGATTATGACGTCCCCAAGAATCGAATGCTCGCGTCATTTTTGTCGCGTCACGAAATCGCGAAAGACCGTGTCGCTTGCAGATTTCAGTACAAAAACATAAGGGAAACAGCATTCAAATGGTGAAAAATACTAATTTTACAAAGTTGGTGTACCTGATGGACGTTTTGGGGTTAAAATTTTGCAAACCAATGGTAAGTGTTTTATATAACATTTATTGTTGTTTCATATCAAATTTCTTTCGTTAGAAATTGCAAATCAAATAACCCAGTGTAAATACCACGAGGCTCGGAGGCTGTCATAGCTGCAGCATAAAATTTCGAAACTGATATATATTATCAACTAAACATGTAAATGTCTAACAAAGTCATGGTTTGGATATGTAAATCATTCTCCATTTTAAGGTTAACATGTATAAAAACTGCCTATAGTAATATAAATGTTCAAATCTTAATACAGTTCTGTCACTCAACGCAATCGAAGACAATCTGCCAGTCAACAATATTGAAATATTAAATTCAACATAATTTTCATTCAGTTTTCATAGACACTTCATAAGTGCTGAATCTTGATACACTTTCTGTTTTTTCTCCCTGTCTTTCTTGCTCTTAATTCTTGGTTGTTGAACTTTAAAATGTAATGCAAACGCATTTTCACAAATAACTCAATAAGGTACATGCTTGGGAAATAAGGACACTCTGATACACAAAACTTTGGCAATTTTGCAATTATGTGCTCTGCAATTTTTGATCTTTGGATATTACAACTAATTTCATCAACAACTTTGCTCTCTATTTTAGTGACATACTGAATAAATTCATCTTGAGGAACAGTCAGTCCTCCAAAGTCACTCTTGTTTCCATAAGCTTTAAAATAGCACAGTAGCTGGCTGCTGTTGGTCAGGCTGGTCATGGTAAGCTTCTGTGCACAAGTAAGGCATTTGTGTTTGCCCAGGCATTTTTGCAGTAGGTATCCTGCAACATACGTCAGTGCATTCATGGACATTAAATTCTTCTCAACTTCCTCACGCTTGTAGTCTTTCTCGTCGATTACAGGTCCTTTCTTGGTGTTCTTTTGAGTACCTGGACAAGGATCTGACAAGGCTGACAAGCTGGATTGGTCCTTCATG